CGCAGGGGCCGTCCGCGGAGCCGGGCTGGGGCCGCTCGCCTGCTTGTTTGTTTGTTTGCTTTTGTTTTCTGCTTTGCGAACCTGGGTTGGTAAAGATCCAGCCAGCGAGTCCGGCGGAGTTCTCTCTGCCCCTTCCTCCTGGACCATGGGTTTTATAGTGGTCAGCCCCGCTGAGGCTCTTTCAAAAGTGACAGCCCCAACAATGGGGTTCAACAAAGTTCTCCACTTCAGCTTCATTCAGGGCGAGCTCCCGGCTTCTCCATTGGTCCGAGGCTGCAATTTATGATTGGATTAGACTTCATAAGCAACCGGGGCACAATAGCCCCGCCACAAAGAAAGTGTAGTCATCAATTTTGCATATTGACCGCCTCTTTGGAATACAGCGCTCCAAAGGCTCCCAGCAGGGTTTTGTTCAGAGGCAACACACACAGGCTAATTAAATGCCTATTTAAAAGTTTCAAATGACATCTTGCCTCGTAGAAAGGGAATTATTTAAAGAAAGCACTAAATTTATTTGCCGCTCCCCTGCTGAGTTTAGGAAATAAATCAATAAATATTCATATAAACTTATCTGCGGACTCTCAGTAAAGCAGGGGTTTTGTGGGTTTGAAAAAACAAATTAGAAAACGTTGAACTAAGCTCTGTTGAGGGAGAAACATGTTTGGAGAGTGGATCCCACAGTGGTTTGAACATATTCTTCTCCTGCTATTAGAATGAGGCAGAATTAGCGCGTGTAGGTGGGGTTGGTTTTCTATCTGCACATCAAAGGTCCGGAGTAAGGCATATTCAAGATCCGAGCTTCATAAAAATATCGTGTACTTGTGCTCAGGCGAGAGGTTTGCCCAGACCGAAATGTGAGCCTTGATGTGGCCGGTGAGAACTCCGCTCCCACAAAATCTGAGTCTTGCACACAGGAGAAACCTGGACAGCTTTGTGGGACCAGAGCAACCCCTTCGGGTTCTCAGTCCGTTGCTCCTGTGTAGCCTATCTACGTTCAAAATAGTGGGAATCGCTACCCTCCAGCTGTGAAAATCAAGACAACTTTGTCGCATTTGGATCCTTTTGGCTGAAGTTGTGCGAGCTACTTTCCGCTTTGTTGGTGTCCGTGGCTAGAAGCAGCCAAATTCACCTGATCTCGCTTTTTATCTGCACGCGTGTGCAGGATTTCGGAAGGTGTACTGCTCAATGCGACAGAGCCCGGAGTCCCCTAACTTTGGTGCGAGGGACAAATGACGTCGTCTAATGGGAAAGTAGTAAATAGGGATTTTTCTGGTAGAGAGGTTTTGTTTGTGGTGGCAAATATGGAAATAGGCGCAAGTGTAGTTAGTTTCCTTTGGAGGTGGGTGATGAAAGCGACTATTGAGAGTGGTTTTACCTGATTTCTCTGTTAAAGACTATAACAGATGTGTTAAATGTCCTATGTTTTAAAAGCACCCTATTCAGCCCTTTGGTGTGTCTGAACCTTTGCAAGCAGAAGTGTGCAGCTCAACCATGCAGCCTTTATCCTATTAACCATGAACTAACTGTCACCTTCAGCTGTTTTCCCTTTTTACTTTTTAACACAAAGCTTTCTCAAAAATCTTATTAACCAGCTTTATTTCTCTCGATGGTTTTTGTCCGGACGTTTTGTGTTGATTATCTCCATGTCGATGCTTTAACCATTCAATAAAAGTGCATCTGCGATTTATATCACATTAGGGAAGAAAGAAAGTCTGTTAAACCTCTCCCTTGATTCAAATCAAAAAGTTATTTATTAGAGAGGACGGAATCAGCCCTGGAAACTGTATGATCCTGACAAGCTTTCCGGGGGTTTTTGGCGGGCCCCCGGCGGGGGGGCCCTTGCGGCCTTGCTTTGGAGGTTCGGCGTTTTGAAGGCTTCCTTTTGAATTAAACCTTTTTTGGGTTTTTTTTTTTTCCCCGGTTCCCCGTTTTTTTTTTTTTTGTTGTTTGGCGGTTAAGGAAAAGGGGGAGGGAGGTTTTGGGCGGGGGGCGGGGGTTGGGGCGGGTTTTGGCCCCTTGCCCTTGGCCCGTTCCGGTTTCGGCGTTGCGGGGGGGCCCGGGGGTTGCGGGGGGTTGCCGGGGTTGCGGGGGGGCCCGGGGGGTTTCCGGGGTTGCGGGGGGGGGGGGGGTTTGCCTTTTCTTGCCTTGTTCGGGGTTCGTTTTTCCCTTGGCCCCCCCCCGGGCGGTTCGGGGTTTCCTTCAGGCCCGGTTTTTGGGCGGGGTTGTTTTCGGGGGTTTTTTTCTTGGGGGTTGGAAAAGGCAACGGGGTTTTTCCCATTAAATTATTTCCTTGGCCCTTGGCCGGTTTTCGTTCCGTTTTTTTTTCCTTGTTCCTTGCCCTTTTGGCGGCGTTCCCCGGTTCCGGGGTTTTCCCCCTTGGGTTCGGCCGGGGTTTTTCGGGGACCCTTTGTTTTTTTCCGTTCTTTTTCGTTTTCTTTTGGGTTGTTTTCTTCTTTTTTTTCCTTTTCCTTTGGGGGCTTTTTTTTTCCTTTTGGCCCACTTGTTGTTATTTTTTTTGTTTTTAAAAAGGGGGGGTTGCCTTTTTGGGGAGGTTTGGTTCAACGGCTTGTTGGGGCCGGGTTGGCCCGGTTTCTTTTTGTTGCTTTTGGGCCCCTTCTTAAGGATTTCTTTAGGCCCCCGGGCAAAGGGGCTTGGCCTTTTTTTGAAGGGGAGGTTGGCCCTTAGGAACCCAGGAATTCGGCGGAAGGGTTTTTTTTTTAGGGGTTTTCTTTTGGAGTTTTTTTTTCAAGGGCGTTGTTCTTTTAGGGGAAGGGGATTTTTATTTTTTCGGGTTAAACCTTTTGCTTATTGCGTTTTGCCTTTTGTTCGGGCGTTTTTTTTTTTCTTGCCTTTCTTTTTATTTTGTTTTTTTTCAATTTTTTTTTTTAAAGTTCCTTCCTTTTTTTTTTCCGTTAAAAAAAAAAAAAAAAAAGGGAAAAGGGGCCCAACCCCAAAACTTGCGGGGGGTTTTGGGTTGGGGGGGGGGGGTTGGGGTTTGAGGTTGGTTTTTTCCGGTTCGGGGGTTGTTATTCGGCTTGAATTTGGGGGGGCCGGCCTTTCAATTCGGGGGGGCAAGGGGTTGGGCGGGGCGGGGCGGGGGCCCCCCGGGTTGTTGGGGGGGGGGTTGGGGGCCCCCGGGTTTTCCGGCTTCTTGGGCCCGGGGCCCGGGCGTTTTCATTCCCGGCCCGGGGGTTGCCCCCTTGGGGTTGGGGCCGGCCCTTGCCTTGCGGGTTCCCGGCGGCCGGTTGGGTTGCAAGGCCAACTTTTTGTTCCTTCCTTCCCCAGGCGGGGGGCGGTTCCCCAGGGGCCGGGCGGGGCTTTTTTCGGTTCCCCCGGGCTTTTCGGGGTTCCCGTTGCCGGTTTTTTCTTCCGGAAGGTTGGGTTGCAACGTTTTGGGGGGTTTTTTTGGTTTTTTTTTTTTTTTTTTTTTTTTTTTTTTTTTTTTTTTTTCCCCTTTCTTTTTTTTTTTTTTTTTTCTTTTATTTTTTTCCGCCGGAGAGGGGGCTGCAGGAGAGGGGGTGGGATGCTCCGTCCCTGCTGTGTCCCAGCCCCCTAACGATGCTCATCGACCACGCCGGCAGCTTGAATGGAGGCTGCGGGGGCGAGGCTGTATTAAGACACCTAAGTCTTCACCTTTAGAATTCAAGCACAAGGAACAGTAACTGTTGGTTCGTTCAAAGCTCTTCTAGATCCCCCCTTTTCTTGAAAATCCTTCTATTGTGCCAATCAAGCAGATGGTTTGCAGGAAATATAGCTTGGCCCCAGTGACCGAAACTAATTTTAACTAGCTTTCCAAGCCTGGCACGTTTGTTTTGCTCTTACAAAATAGCTAAAAAAACAGCTGGCAAGGGTGAATTAAACCCATTAAAGACACATTTATAAGAAATTATATTCACATAGGTTGCTTGAAACCCCCCTAAGAGGGGAGAGATGAGCGTATTGAAATGAAAATGTCCCCGAGCACACTACCCTCCTTAACATCGCCTGAGAGTCTCAAAACATTTTACTAAATAGATTAACTTGACTATTGTTTTGCATCACATTTATCAGCTTCATTAAGTGAATAGCTGAACAAATATATTACGCATGCATGAAAAGCTCTTTTGGGGGCTGCCTTATTGTGTCCTCAGCCCTGACAGGTGGTTAACTGTGTTTCTCTCTCCTCTCCCCCTCTCTCTCTCTGCGCAAAGAAAGAGGGATCTTGGACAGAGCGCACAGCCCAGACTTGGCAAAGGGACCTCGAGGGGAGAGTTACTTTCTTTTCCCTCGCCATTCATGCTGGCCAGCCCAGAGTGCACGCAGCCTGAAATGCAACCAGATGATCTGATCATGTCAAAAGTAATTAACTTTAGTTTAGTCTCTGTGCCTTGCTTGCGCTTTACTAACTCCTTCCAAGCCTGTTTAATTTGCATTCTTTCTTCCAAATTTGATTATTTTTGTCCATTTCGTCCTTTTATCCTTTTCCCAACCTCCACTTTTGTTTTAAAAAAATAATCTGGGACTGAACAATCTCTCTTCTTTCTTCTCCACTGATCTGTCAAATAAACAACCACACAACCTCCTAAAAACAACTCTTTTAATGAGCTAAGATTGGCACATTTTGGAGAGCTAGGATTTGCAAAATCCAATATGATGGTTTATTTGCTGCCTCAATTTCATGATTTCTTGGTGCAGTGGAACCTCGCTGGGAATTGGACAGTGGCAGTTTGGATTTCAGATGTTGGTGGACAGGGTCCTGCTTGTGGTCTCTGCCCCAAGGGTTTCCAAATTAGACTGTGCAGATGAAATTTGGAGGAGGATGACAGAACACCAAACTTGCCCATTTATTTTCTCAAAAACATGTTCCTCTCATCTTGCTCAGGTAGGTCAGAAGAATTAAAAATCCTTTTGTCTTTCAAATAATTTCTTAAGAGTACTCCTACCTCCTCACTGTAAACTGAAGTTGTGATCCTTTGCTTATGACAGTGGCAAATTTCTCTGGTGACTGATCCTCTGAAATC